CCTAACAAACTAAACGCTGAAAACTTTCGTCTGAATAAAGCGAACTTGATACTGGCTTACTTGGAAGGGCAGACAAAACACTACGAAAAAGTCCGAAAAAAGTACGTCAGAGCCCGGAGTACGCTACATAAGATTTCGATAACTTCAGGATCCATATCTGTTGTGTTAACGGGCTCCGGCGTTGCTACTTCGCTTACTAGACCGGGAATAATCGTTGGAGTTCCTTTGGCCGGCGTTGGAGCAGCCTGTGGTATCATTTCGGCTGTTGCTACGGGCATTATGAAGCAGTTGTCTAGCAAAATATCAAAACACGACACGACAACAGCTCTGTATAGGGCTAAAGTAAATACAATTACTGACCTTGTCTCAAAGGCTTTGCGTGACAGAAAGATAGACGACGTAGAATTCTCGCTTATTCTGGCCGAAGAGGAAAAGTACGAGAAATTAAAGTCGGACATAAGGAACAAAAAAACAGTCGTAAAAGATCTTTCCGAGGAATCTCGCAAAAAGATCTACCAAGAAGCGAAATAAGAGCTTCAAAGAAAACTCGCTCAGTAAACATCTGCTTTGAAAAGAGCGTGACGGGATTCTATTTGCATGTCGAGCGTCGGTCTGGCGATTATGCAAATTAATTCCTTACATTCCATTTCCCCTCGTGCATTTTCCAACTTCGAAAGTGAAAGTGCTGGTTGCTATGGGGAAGAGGAATGTTGGCGTTGCTACGTGACGTCAACGCTCGGAATTCATCCTAAGAAGGGGTGGTTGGGGTCTATTTTGTAAAATATTTCGTAAATTACGTCAGGGTAATAAGGAATATCCTTATCCAACCGACAAAACATCCACTCGGCTTTTGTCATATCAGAAACCTCGGGAATAAACTTACCGGTAATTTCAGACAAAAGATAGGGAATAGCTTTGTAATATTTCCCTAGTTTTAATTTTTTCAATGTCTTCCTTAAGCTTTGTGGGGTTGGCTCTTCTAAGTGGTCTATGATTTTCTTCTTTACTTCGTTGTCTAAATATACCGGTCGTAAACCCTGGATATGACTCATCCAGTC